CCCACCCCCACAAAAAAATGAAAGGGAGAGCCAGATAAGACAGAAGGTTAGAAGAGGGTGTACTTAATTAAGTTTCTATGCTTCAATTACTCATATATCTTTGATTTTGTATAAATTCGAATGTAAAGGAAAAGAAAATCAACCCAATGTAAATAGGTAACTAAACAAACGAAATTAAGTCACATTCACAACGGCAGAAAGTATCAAATTTACAATATCACTGCAAACTTGAGTTCTCAATCACAATGCCATTAGGGATCTAACCCTAATTAAGGCAAAAGTAGTAGAAAAAACATACATTAAAACCCCCATATATGCATCCATATTATTCATACATAAACTTTCATATTTATTTTATTTTATTTATTTCCTATATACTATATAACATTAACTACATGGATGCTTCTTCTTTTTATTCCAACATATTCTTGAAAACTTTAAGGCTGGACTTCATTTTCATCTAAGGCTTTTGCTTCTGCAGCTGAGTAACAACACCTACACCCTCCATATCTACTGGGCCCACAGCAACCATATCGGCAGCTGCCACCGCCCCAGCCGCCACCACCACCACGGCCTCCCCAGCCGCCACCTCCCCAGCCACTGCCTCCACGGCCTCCCCAGCTGCCACCGCCACGTCCTCCATAGCCACCACCTCCCCAGCCGTAGCCGTAACCACCTTGTCCACCGTAGCCGTAACCATAACCGTCATCTCGGTTACCAGCCACTGCATGATCATCTTTTTCCGCAACTACAGCATCTTCTGCAAATATTATTTTTACGCTATTAGTATAATTTAAAATATCGTAACATGTTACTATTTGACATCTTTTATAACTAGTTTCACATATTATTAAGTATTACATTGTACTAATATTTTTATCGACCTATCTAATTGTCTAAAAATTCTTTTATGTATAGAAGTTGAGATTACTCTACTTTAAATTATCAACTAAGATTTGCACATTATGTAGAAGTTGCAAAAAAAAAAAGAGATGAATTAAAGGTACTATAGTAATTCTATAAATAGGCTCAAGTATGAAATTTACGAGGTGTGCAACATCTCCGGCAACCATAGCGGCCGTAACCACCGCAGCAGCCGTATCGACAGCGGCCTCCGCCTCCGTACTGGTCCATTTCCTTTGATTCCTCGCTGTTTGTTTCTTCTACTTCATTAGCTGCAATACGGATAAGAGAAATAGATTATATTAAGTTTTTAATTTTGAAATGAGCATGGATTATAAACTCTGTTCGTAATGTGAAGAGAAGAAAGAAGAAAAATTAACCTAAATAGCCACCACCCAACAGCTTAAATTATAAAATAGCAGGTGAATGTATCAGTGACGGAGCCAGAATTTTCACCAAGAGATGACAAAATATAATAAAAGAATACTTCAAAAAGTTTAGAGGAGTCAGCGCGTAGTAAATATATATAAACAAAAAAATTATCTAGTAATACAATGTAATTTTCCGGTGAAGGAGTGTTGATTGACACATTTGAGTTGAATATGCGTCCGCCACTAGGATGTATATATAATCAATGTATAACTATATATAATCTGTATATAATTTATATATACTGACTAGAAAAAATAAAAGTGTGTACGGTCGTTATTTCTGTAACTAATTTATAAGTTATTCCCCTCTAATAGCTCCATCATCAAAAGATTGTGTACTGAAATCTCTTTCTATGTATTGACAATATAAAAAATATTACAATTAAATAAGTTAAAATTAGACAGTTAAAGATAATTATTTGTAAATATATCGATTGATACCGGAGAAACTAAAATGAGTAATTACATGTCATAAAAATGACTAATTACATGCTATAATAGGTTAAATTGTATTGGTAAAAAAATCTTAGCAATACTATCGGTGTATATAAATTAAATCCTTACCGGATGCGCAACACCTACGACAGCCATAGCGTCCCCAACCACCACAGCAGCCATATCTACAACGGCCTCCGTACTGGTCCGTTTCCTTTGGCTCCTCCTCTTTGTTTGTTTCTTTCACTTCATTTGCTGCAATATGTGAACATTAGTAATATACACTAGTTTAAATGAATTTTGTGAGTTCAACATTTTCATTAAAAAAAACACTAGTTTCTAATTTTGACAACATCCACCAATAGAAAAATTGTAAATATTATGCAAATATAATGAAAAGATATCCATGAAAATGAGCACTTCATAAAGTATACATATAGACCAAGTAAAAGCTTATCATATTATGAAAATAGAATGAAGATTAACACTAGCACATAATAAACGTCCAAAAATGAGTATTATATAACTGCTCTCAAAATAATAGTCGAAAAAATATATTTTTCATTTCTCTAGCCTTTTACTTAGGCACCTAGTATTTTTCAAGTGAATAAAGTTCTTACAATTTATGCTAGTAACTAGTAAAGGAGAAAAGAGAATTATATAGAAGAGTAAGATACTAAGTAATTTTGTTCATGAGAAATAAAAATGAGGTAAATATCATAATAATAGGAATATGAAAAGTTAGTATATACCCTTCTTTTCATCTTTGGATGTTTCAGTAGCAATTACAGAATAAGAGATGAGAAGAAGGACAAAAAGCAAAGGGAGAATACAAGTTTTAAGCTTCATTTTTTTTTTTTTTTTTAACAAA